ATTTTGAGAAGGACCTGTATACAGCCAGAGAAATGACATTGATCAATAGAAATAGACTCAAAAGGGGTATGAAGAATGAAAACTTATTTTTCATACCCCCTTTCCCTCTAATTGCACTTAAATCAACTCAGAGTAACTTTTCTGTTAAACTTATCTTTTTTATCCCATATTCACACAGACAAAAAAAAAATATATATATATATATACATATAAATAATATATATAGTATTTGTATATACAAAATCTCTCTCTATATATACATACACAAGTATATATACATACACACACACGTATGTGTATATATATATATATATATATATCAACATCGGCATACATCGGAACTAGCAGTACCATCATCAGTGCCACAGCCCAACACCACAGTCCCTCCACCCGCTCCCACCTTGCACCCCACAGCACCCATCACCCCCCCTCCTCATCACAGTACATGTTAAAAACCTCAGTTTGAGCGCTTTTTTAAACAGACTCATGCTTGGACATTGCTTCAGCTCTTTTTGGAGTTTATTCCAGACCTTTACACCACTGACTAAATGCACATTGAATGGTCTTAATAAAAGAGATATAGCCCTATTATTTTGTGTCCTTAGTCCTTAAGAACTGAGAATCTGAATTTAATAAACCACAATTCTGCAGCTGACAAAGGAGATTCAAAGGTCTGAGGTAAAGTACAAATTTTTCAATCACATTGAAATCAGTTACAAAAGTGACAGTGAAAATGCAGCTTCAGCCAGGGTGGTAAATACTTACACCATTGTTCATCCTTGGTGACTGACTTTTAGCAGCCAAGCCCAAAAAGAGCGTGGGATTCGTTCTACAGCTGCTCACCATCCAGCTTTCATCAACTGGGTGGCAAATAGATATGAGGTCACTGCTTTAGGCAAAAACAGTCATCTATATGTCAGTTTGATCATTATCAGATGAATTAATGGAACATGTAAAGCATCTCTCAATTAGATCAAAATCTAATGCATACTCAGTTCAAATTTTAGCCGCTTACAGTTTTTCAAGATGATGGGATAAATGTTCAGCTTTCCGACAGAGACAGTATGCTTCAGTTAATTTGTACTTAGAGGTTAGAGGTAATAACCCATAAAAGATATTACTGCTAACCAGAAGTTCCTACGCTCTTAACATCTCTTAAAAAGAAAAAACAAAGCACAAAAAAATAAACAAACAAGGGCTTTTATTTTCTTATATTCATTTATTGTTCCATAAAAATAAATTCTAAAAAAAGTGACGTGATGTCTCCTTCATGACGTTGCCTGATGGATCCACCAACAGTTCCTTGTAAACACAGGACCTTAGGAGACTAAAAAGGAATTTACACCTCTTTTTTTTTTCTCCATCGTCCAAGCCAAATCTCAAAAACCTAAAATGTAATTGACCTTTGACATCCTTAGTGGTTACAGCCCTCCAACACACCCATTTGTACTACATTTCACATTTAGGGCAGATATACATTCATTCCCTGATCTTCTCTATCTAAATACACGTTTCAGTTTGTGGCCGAGCAATTTGTTTTTGCAGATGGCCATCGTAAAAAACAAACAAAAAAACAGCTTTAAACATGAAGAGAACATCTAGGCGGTAACACGAGAGCTCAAGCCATCAGTAAAACCAGTTACAACTCATTAGAACATCTTTATACAGCAGTTAACATGTAAAACATGTCTTTAAATGTGTAGGAAAAGACAGCTCTGTAAACAGTGTGAGATAACTCTGTCAAAGTCCCTGGAAAAGGTTCAACTTCTGCTAGACTAACAGAGGCGAGGTCCTCTATTTTTTCTCCAACTCTTCTTTTAAACCTTAATGCTACATTGTACTCTTTTATTTACAGTAGGAAATTCTGCTGACCCTGCAGGTTAGAATTTTACAGTAATAAAATATTTTACATGGTGCAAAATAACTGATGGAGAAAAAAAACGACTAAAGTTTTCCCCTTGAAGATCCCGACATAAAGCAATGGGAAATGTACTGTAACATAATATTATGGGCTTTAAAATATATGAATTTAGCTAGGGGGTTGAATGTTGGCATCGTTAAGAGGCCTCATTTAGGAGCAAAAAGATATCTTAAATTAGCCAGAACTCTAATTCATTTTTTGTTTTTTCTAACCCATACCAAGTCATATATCTCATTATAATTTCTGAAATATAGACACCAATTTCCATAGCTGAGTGATTTAAATGCTCTACATAATCTGAAGTTTAACATTTACCTTTGGAAGGATAAAAGGGCAAGTATGAGGCATCTGTAGTTTATATTGTTTTATTGAAAAAATTAATTCATGCTCTAGCCTTTTCTAGTGCTCCAGGCAGGTTTTGCCATAATCTGCGGTAAAACAATGTGGATTAACAAAGAACCAGAGAGATAAAGCATCGTCCCAACTATTAGCACCCATGGTAGCACACTCTTTAAAAGACTTGAAATAAATTACTCAGCTTCAAAGACTTCATATGAAGTTTATTTTCCATTTTCCTCACAGATTGTGTTTGAAGGATAAACTAAGATTCTGATTTAGCCTTTTTTTGTCCCAGTCTGATCTGTTTTATATATTTGTAATTTGTACTGATATGAAAAATATATCCAAAATGCTATATTCCTGTTGCTATACAGAAAGAATTAGACCTCCAATATTCCAGCCTCAGAGCCTGATCTCCAAGAAGTTTGTGTATAAACACATGTAAACTTGATAGCATGTGCAAAGCTGATCGACCAAATGGGTGCTAATTAAACTGCATTTCTGAAATAAATGGAACAGCAGTTCCAAACTTTTCTTTATGTTTGCCTTCATGAACATGCAGAACATATATTGATGAACAAAACTTAAATATGACATTGTGGGAAGGGAAATATGCCAATGTAATTCCCTACCACCCGCAAAGCAATATATCAAACTAGGAACAGACTGCAAGCAAAGTTGTTGCTTCTATATTTAGCATGTTTGAAAGTCAGGTGCAAACTCGCATGCAAACATTTCTGTAATCACTGCTGCCATGTAGAAGGCATTAAGGAAATGACAGACGGAGAGAGTGTCTGTATGATAGCAGAAATGGCAGAATAAACAATATTAGAATAGTAATAGTAGTAGTGATCTGCATGTCAAAGGTTTATGCAGCGGGACTGCAGACAATTAATGTAACAAAACGTAATGTAAAAATAAAATCAATAAATTAATACATTTTTCCTAAATTTTCTTCAGTTTTGCTAGATTTTACAATTGAATTTCATGAAGTTTTATCTTTTTGACCTTTTCGTTGTAGTGCTTTAAGATACTAATACATAAAGTGCATTGTTGATAATATTCACAACTGTTTTATTTAAACAACAGTTCGAAACTGAACTGTTTCCAACTGTTCCCAAACATACATTACTTTAAAAGGACATTCAGAAAAGGTTTTAACCACTGTGCACTATGATGCACACACAATTGTAGATCAACTGCAGCATGCCCTTTAAATAGACATACAATTGTTTACTGCATAAGCAATTTAACCCACCTTATTTGCAATCTATGAAGATCAGGCCCTGAGTGTTTTTCATGAAAGATTGTTAATGGTTCACCGCCTCCTACCTACCCATTTTTTAAAGGCTCATAAACTGGTGACTGAATGTACCTCCTTTTTGAGATTGAGACTGGAGATAGCAGACGTCCCATTCTTTCCCGTCCCCATTTAGGTTAGCTGTAGTCTTTATCCTCCTAGCTTGAATCTATACTAATTGAGAACACTTAGTTATGGCAGTTGAGATGTCAACGGCTTATAAGCTTTAGATAGAACTTCACTTCAAAAATTTTAAGTTTTCATAAGGGTCACCCCTTTAGCAGTTTTCATAATCTGATAATGGATCTGATGAGTCTTGATATGAGTGTGTGTAAAGGCGGGCTTACACTGTGCGATTTTTATGCCCTTTTCGGGGCAACCTTCCAGTCGTACAAGAATTTTCCGATCGGCCCGACTTTTAGCCTTGTCGGGCGTTGTGCGTCATTTAGTGTAGTCTGGGGCAAATCGCTCAGTGGGCATGCGCAAACAAGGATTCTTCCTCTCAGAGGAAAACACAGAAGCATGATGGGGGTACGAGTGAAATGAAGTTCTTTCTGTAACATTGACAGACTGTAGTAGCCACGTTTGTTCAGCCATGTCTTTGTCCAAATACATTGTCGCCTTTTCTTTTTAGGGCTTTCAGCACAAAATTGCACAAACTGCCAAGGCAGTGCGGTTCACTCTAGTGAGATTCATATTCCTCTTCTATTGATTTGGATAGACAAGTCCGAGTAGCGCCATCTCACTGTGAGCTGAGTCCGACGTGGTTTTTAGACATACAGTGTGAGCCGGTAGATTGCATCAGAGCGTCGTGCTGCACAGTGTGAGAACATACATTGTGTACTGTGAACTCACACTGAACGACGAAACCCTGCGGTTTCGTCGTACTGTATGAGCTGTAGCTGCGTGCGACGATTTAAATAAATCGCACAGTGTATGCCCGGCTTAAGATCTTTGATGTGGCTTGAATCCAACCTGAGGTCCTTTGCCGCATGTCTCTCCCCCTCTCCCGTACCCCCCTTTCCGGTCAGCTCACTGTACAAAAAACGAGCCACTAGTGCCGTAACCCCCTTAACAAAAAAAGTGAAGTGAAACAAAACCTCTGAGTTTGTTAGCTTTTGGTGAAGTACAGTACCAATTCCCCCACTTCCCTACTTTTGGCGTCCATTTTGATCCAACATGTTTGCCAAATTATTGAAAAGTCTTTTAGATAACTGGTAGGCAAGTATGAAATGTCCTCCTGGTGGCTACCATCTAATGCACAGAAAGGATGAAATTTGCCTGCTGCTCCATTTCATACACTACTTCAGAATACTACAAAGAAAGGAAACGGCGAGGGGTCAAAATGACCAGCCGCACCTAAAGGACAGAAAATGAAAGTTTATAGCCTTCCCTTGTCAGTTTGAAACAACAGCATACAAAGTATTGCTCCTTTTTTTCCCCTATTTGGACAAATAGCTGGTTTGATATGATCTGTTTTAGCTACACCAACCGAGTGTCTGTGAACAGTCTACAGGCCAATGCTTCCTCAAACAGTGAGAGAAGTCTGTTCTTTAAAACAGGCCGGGTGCTTGGCGGGAAAGCTCTTTGGGAATTAGAACATATAGAGAGCTCAATGAAAAGCCCTTTCTGTGTGCGTCTGGGGAGGATAGTGACGATAACGGAGCCTGTGTCATTTTGGAAACACTCGCAGCCAAAAGTGCTGGTGTCAGCCATGCCAAAAGTCCCAGACAGACTCTTACCCATGCTAAGTGTCACAAGATTTTGCTGAAAGATTTCTGACAGCACTAAAAAAAAAGTGTTCATTTGGTGTCCATATGAGGGTCTGATGTTTACAGACAAAACCTCTTAAATAGGGAAACACATTTTGTACAAATGTTCATTTCAGGAGGAAAAAATATATATATTACAATTTGCAGTCTATGTATTATTACAGTGACAAAGAAAACGGATTTTTGTAATTTAATTGCAGGTTTAGGAAATGTAAATCCGGATACGAGCATAGATGGGTCACACTGTCGTGGCCCGGCTGTGTTTGAGTGCGAGTGGTGAATAGTCTTTAATGCGAACGCAGAGTTTGCCTCTCAGCCAGGGGTTCTGCAGCTCCAGGGGACACAAGTCATCCTGAAGCCACTTCTCTCTGTTGTCCACCACCAGCACAAGTCCAAAGTGCTTCAACTGCTCAGGACTGTAGTAAACACATTTCTCCTGCTCCTCACCACCTCCATTGCTGCCCAGCAGGCGCCGTGAGATTGTGTTCATCTCCTGGACCACCAGCTGGATCATCTCCCGAGCCGTTGTGCCCAAAGTTACACAAAGCTGAAAAATAGGAGGAAGAGGAGGCAACGTTCAGCTGACAATCACAAACAACAAACGATAAGAAATGTAACAAAAGATTGTGCAGCAGGAGAAGAGAAACATAAAAAAGCCATCCTTTCAAATTCTTCATGGCTCTCTTAAGAAAAACTAAATAATTTGAAGGAAAAATTATGCATTTTGGGCAAAAAAACCAATTTTGTCTGACTACAAGTGTAAATTCACAAAAAGGTGAATTTAAAAAGTAAACAGACAAGCAAAATAAAACAGGAAAAAAATGCTGCATGGTACTAGTTTAACCCTTAATACAAATGTTATTATTAATACTACTGTTATTATTACTAGAAGTAATATTAACATTTTATTACATCACTTCAGGATCCCAAGAAATCTTAATTCATTTGAGAGGAAGAAAGTAAAATAATAAGCCAAATTGGAAATAATCTAAAGTTGTTAAAGTCGTAGGGAACAGCTGTTCCAACCGTTGCATTTCTGAATTCTCCCGAGTGGTGCCCAACTTTACACTACTGAGTAAAGTGAATGTGATTGGTCGTTGGTTGTGGCAGAAGGTTCGCAAGCAGATTTGGTTGTGGCCGGTTTGTCGGAAGCATCTTGCTAACCAGTTAGCAACTTAGTGCTAGTAGGTTCCCAATGGGAAATGACATTGTGACCAAATAGCATTTATCAACGACACTGTCAAGGAACGCTATGGACAGCAGAAACATGCAGGAGGAGGAGAGTTTTGTGTCGGAGGTCATGGAGGAGTCTCCTCCGTCATACATTTTTTATTTAGAGGAGGAAAGCGGGGATAAAGTTGCAGTGGAAGAGGACACCAGGGCAGTGTAAGCTTTGTTTGGTGTAGAAGGTTTACAGCCGTACATGTTTGAGCCATTGCCTCACGATGCTGCCAGTTCTGTTAGCTCTATCCGAAGACACAGACATCCATCCCCGTAAACACTGGGACAGAACTTAATGGTAAAGTAAATGATTCTTATTTCTTATTTCAACCCTTGCGTATATTAGCTGCGACATATGACCGAAAAATTTGATTGACAGAAGACCATTGGTATGTGATTGGCCGAATTTAGGTGTCCAAGCTGACATAAAACTAACTGGCCTGCATAAGATAACAAAAAAGAACAAACATCGATTTTAAGACATGATTTTTTTTTAAATAGAAATTTTCTAACTTTTGGGACAATATCGTCTGATAAAGAGTACATTTATATACATGTTTAAACCAGAATGATTTGACATTTAAATATGACTTCGCTAGGACTTTAAAAAAAACATCTGAGATTCTAAGTTTGAATGGCAAACAAAGACGTTTTTAATGAAAACGAAACAGTTCTGACTGAGCGAGAGAGTTAAACTGAAACTTTATACATGCATTGGTACCTTAACACTCGTCTCCTTTGGCAGGCCTGTTCGATACTGCGGGTAGACTCTGAGTGTGGCGTGACAGCCTATCCTGAATGCAGCAGGTGATGGTGAGTTGAGTTTTTGAGTGCCGCTGTCCTCTGACAACGTCCGTGCTGGTGGAAGTTGCAGTACGCAGCGCTCTCCGGGACATCGATCCACTGACGAAGGGCGGTGCCATCTACTCTGTGGCGAGGTGGAGGGTGAAGAGTAGTGGGAGTAGTCGGAGTAAGGCTGATTGTGGATTGATGTGGTGGAAGGGAACTCCAGGCTGCTGGTTCTGACACAGAATGCCTGCCTCTTCTCTGTGATGTGCAGGAGCTCGATTTGTCTGCTAGGCAGGATGAAGTCACTGTCAAAAAGCTCTGGAGGTCCCCTCCGCCTTTCTCCACCACAACGAACTGCTCTGCCTCCTCCTCCACATCGCTCACTTTCCCTCCCAAACTGAGGTTCGGAGGCCTGGAGGACGTCCGGCGTAGAATCTCTTAGAGCTCCTCCTCCACGTCCATCTCCACTGGGACACAGAACTCCTCCAGAGCCGCTCCCATCGCTACGCAGGAAACCACGAGGCTCCAGGGGGGCTGTGGAGGATAAAGGTGAGGGAGGGAGCAGGTCCAGCTCACGGGGACTCTGTGCACGACTGGAGTCGTAGTCACTGTCAGTGGTGAGGAAGACTTCGGAGGAACCCTCTTCATCTGATAGACCAGGGTAATCTGATGGACACAATTAGACAATTGAAGTATAACTCAGCAAATCGAAACTCTAAACTAGTAGTGTTCAGAACTTTTGACTTTTTTCAACTTGTGTCAACTGACAATCATAAACTTTATGCATGTTTTTTTTGGGGTGCAATAATCATTACTGAATTAACTGTGAAGAGGAATAAAAAGGATCCATGGTGTTCAATGAATAGTATTTTATTTTATTGTCTTTAACTTCTCCCAGCCAGTACATTACAGAAGCAGCCTTAAAGCTAGTAGTCTTTGGGTTACATGTGCTATAGATTTGAACATCTACAGACAAAAATGTTCAACTTTTTCTCTCACTTAGTTGACTCGACCGATCCATGAATATACTTTGATTTTAATCTTCCATTGGAGCTCTGTTTGTATGTTAGGATCATCGCTCCGCTGGAAGGTGAACCTCTCCCCAAGTCTTAGCATTTTGCAGCCTCTCAAAGGATTTTGTTCCAGGCTGGGCTTTATTTAGCACAATCAATTTTAGGGTCATGGTCCCTGTTAAAGAAAAGCATCTTCACGACATTATCCTGCAACCATTTTTAGTTTTGCACCACAGATAGCTCAGAAGACAAGAGCCTCCAACAGAAGCATAGAGAATATGTCAGCTGAAGAAAAAACATAAACTCATCAAAATACTTCCACTATCATTTTTAACTTTAGGGATGATGTCCACAGAGAGATAAACAGTGGCACAGAACTAAACTTCATGCTTGGTAAATATCTTTCTGTGCTTCTCCTATTTTAATGACAGCATTTTTTTGGTCCTCTACCTGGTTTAGGTTACACAACAAACAGTAGTTCATATAGCCTCTTTTCAACAATGGCTTTCTTCTTTCTACTCCTCCAAAAAAGGTACACCTGAAGAGCCCTCGAATTATAGTATTCCTGTCAACAGTTTCTACCACCTGAGCTGTGAATCTCTGCAGCTCCTCCAGAGCTACCATTGGCCTTTTTGCTGCTTCTCTGATAAATGCCCTCCTTGTCTAACCTGTCAGTTTATGTGGATGTCCATGTCCTGGTATGTCTGCAGTTGGTCCATTTTCTCCCCATGTTCAGATTAAAGATCGGACAAAACTTCCATGAGATGTTCAACTTGGGAAATTGTTTTAGAAACTAACCCTGTTTTAATATTTACTACAACCTTCTCCCTAACCTCTCTGCAGTACTCATTTGTCTTCATAATGCAGTTTGTTCTCTTAACTCTTTATAGGGCACTCAGTGAAATACTTTGAAAATAAAACTTCCAAGCCAATAGTGTTACTGGAATCCAGGACATGACCTTATTGTAACATTGAAAAAGTATAAATAGTTTGATGGCAAAAATGTATGTCAATGTAATAACAAGAAACTCCAACTTGCCCAAATATATATAAAAAAAAAATAACAAAAGTGCTTCTATAAGAAATTCATGAAAAACACTCTGAGAGTGAAAAAACACAATTCGTTTTGGTAGAACATAACCTTAGAGGCATTAACTCTGATGCTCGCAATAGAAATTTTTGTTTAAAAACCTAAATATAATTGTTAACTTGGCTTATTAACTTTTTTAATTTACTTTTTAACTTTTGAATTAGCTTTTTACCTTTTTTCTTGACTTGTGTACTTTTTTTTTTACTTAATTTACAGTAGGTAATCATTCAAGGGCTCATTTAATTGGTAAAATGCCAAAATAGGAGGTACAGCCATGTAGGGGTATCTTTGCTGAATGGGTGGATATAAATCTTGTGCTTCTAGACCTCACTGAGGGACGGGGGGGACTCCATTTGTAAGGGGTGAGCAAGTGATCTGAAATGGTAACCTATAAATTGTTAATGTTCTCCAACAAAACTCTGATGCCTCTATAAGCAGCTGCATCCATATTCAGTGTTGGAAACATGAATTAAAAAAGGAAGTAGTTATAGTCAATAGTTGCTTCTCTAAAAAAGTAACTGAGTGAGTAAATCAGTTACTGTTTAATCAAAGTAACATGTTAGTAGCCAAAGTAACTATGGAGTTACTTTTTGTGATCTAGAATGCCAAAGAATTTGAATAACGTTCTTGTTATTGGAACTCTAAAGATGATCAGAGGTTCAGTTATGGAATATTAACAATTTTTGATACATTTATGAATAAGATAAATAAAAGGACTACGTGTAAATTGTAATATAATTGTGTGGATTTTTTTTATAATAAAAGAACAATAGGATGTTTTACAACTTTATATTTTTGCTTGTTGACAGCTTTTAACCTGTTATAAAATAGATATAAAACTGAAAAATAATGCCTACTTTAAGCAGGATGACAAAAATAAGATGTAATTTGCAATTGAATTAAACAGCATTACACTATTCTACAAAAAATCCCTAGCAGGACGGTATGATCACAGCATTTTTGTGTGGAAAAAAGTAAACCCTGCAAGTAAAATCAGTACAGCCCTGAAAATTTAAAGAAGTTGATGGTGTTGATTAAAGGAATCAGGTGTCAGTCAGTGTTGAGATGATGTGAGGAGTTTACGACTAGCAAATCACAGAAACATTTAGCTTCATTGAGTCCTTTTTTCTAGGAACAGTGCCATTTAATCAGTGGCTCTGTCCAATCCTCTCTCTTCTGTATTCAATGCATGCTGAACATCCACCCACATTACGGCTCCTTAGCCAGACGGCGTTACCTTTGCCTCCATCTAAGCTCCATGCTAATCTCTGCCCTGCCTAAAGTATAAATATCTCCCACTAAAGAGAGAGTGTGTTGATGAAAAGTCACTAAATGATCAGGGTGGAGTAACGCGCTGCGTCACATTTCAGGTAATGCAACAGAGTTACTAATCTGTGAAAGTTAGATTACCTCCTTAATGAAAAACAAACTCACAATCATTGAATACGATCTGTCACATAAAACCGGTAGCATCAGGTTTCTATCATAACAAAAATGTAACTACGTTTAAATGGGATGAATGATTTTTTAAAGCACATTATAGTGTTGTTATAGTGTATCTGACCTGAGTGTTTGCAGCAAGGTTCTGGTGAGGGCATGGGGGAGGGCATGAAGTCTGGCTGGGAGGAGGTGGAGGGAGGCTTGTCTGGCAAAACCTCTTTAGAAAAGTCTATTATCCAGCTGATGGAGATGCCTCCTGTTGGCTGCTTGTAGCGGGCATACTGCAAGGCATCCATAATCCACCTTGCATCTCGCCACATCTCCTCCATTTGCTATGGAAAGGTTGTAAAAGTTTATATCTCTTTTAGAAATAACATTAAGCAGTTTAAATGTGTTCTAAATTCTCAAAAATACACCTCGATGCAGCCAGTGATGATACCTGCATGTGCTCCTGAACCTGTTGGTGTTTCTTCTTAGCGACAAGGAGCTCAGCCTCAGAGAAGGCCTCTCGCAGAGCCTGCTGCGACATGAGGGAATCCAGCTCCAGGAGAGCCGACACTCTGCAGTACTGCCCAATGAAACTGGGCCAATATGCATTAAAGTGCACTGTGAATAGAGGTAAATACGCTGTTAATAAATACAGGAAAACATGAGCCTGAAAAAAGGGCCTGTTAGTGAATTTGGATAAGTCTTAGAACACTGACCCAGTTCAAAGATCTGGAGGGGCAGGGTGAGGAAGCCAGAGCGAGGGGAGTATGGATTATTCTGACCAGGAGCTGTGCAAACTTCATCTGAAGGCGGAAGGAGGAGCACGAAGGACACCTTCTCTCCAAATTCCAACACTTCCTGGCTGTAGATCCGGAAATCCTGAGCCTGGGTAAATGCAGGTAATCCTAAATTGATATCTGCTCAGTAAAACTGCTGCACACTTTCAAATTTACATTTGATACATCAGTATATTCTTATAGTAGCACAGAAATCTGTGGAAGCATTTATAAACCTACAGTTTATAGAAAGAAAATGTCAGTCCTTGTAGCATTAGCTTCCTTGGATAGAGCAATAAGTCTAAAGGATAACTTTATGTGTTTAGATTTTAGTTTTTTTTTATCACTTTAAGTGAAAAGAGTTTTTACATAAGTTGTTTTGATTATTCTATAACTGCTTTAAAAGGTTTCCCATCGTCAAGAAAATATATTTAAATGCCTTCTGACACTCTTTGGATCCCATAGTTTGAATAAGATCAGGAAAATTCACAGTGAAAACCTTTCTCAGCAAATTCTAATTAAAACTTGTATGTCTGTCAACTTTAAATAGGAGAGCTTATACGTTTTTGATATTTTATTTTATGTCTAATAAACCAACGACATCTTCATATTTGTCCATAATTTCTTTGTTAAGAAATGCCAAAGAAAAATGAGTGGCTAATTAATAACTTGCTTTTGCGGTGTGTCTGCAAAGGAACCACAGCTTTTTATCAGTATTATATTCTCCCTATAAACATCTCATGTTTAATGGTAGTTTAAAGTGTTTAAAAATACTGTAGAGATCTCTATTTTTATCATTTTTAAATTATCGCTAGAAAAAAATTGCACTGATTTTTTAACATAAAATATGACGACATGTATAGGTTTGTTAGATCTCCAGACTACTGCTGCCAGACAGCTTAACTCCAAAGTTCCTTCTCCTCATTGGATCATAACCATGTGAGCCGTAACTAAGGAGCTCCTATTTGAGTGGAAGACTTTGCTAATAATACATTTGTTGCTTAAAACCATTGTTTTTCAATGAAGACCAGATATTTTGTGCAAATTTGCATACATTTTGTTAAAATAAATGTTTTAAAATACAAGGCTAAACACTATTTAAAACAAAAGACCAGCTCATTAGGGGAAAATTGCAAAAAAAACGAAAATTACCTTGGGAAGAAAAACAACATTTTGTGTGGGTTTTTTTGTAGCATTATTGCATTGAAGCACTTTTTGATTCTGCAGTTATTTGTAATGGGGGTTGATTGGTTTTGTGAGACCTGTGCTGTTATTGTCTGTTGGAAAACCATTTATTTCACCACCAGCCTCATTCTCACCTGGTTTCCAGGGACATTGATATGTGCCATTAGGTCTCTGATGGCACTGCGCAGGTCATTTAAGAGGCGATGTGGTGCACTCTGCACATCCTGGTCCATTTCCAGTGCTTCGTCCAGAGAGCTGAGAGCCTGCAGCCACTGCCACTCCTCTCTAGACGTCCCAGATGGAAGGTTATTCCAGGGTAGTTAGATCTCTGTTATTTAACTGGCTAATGTAGTACACAAGTCAAAGTTTCAAAGGTTCTCCCACCTGGACACATTGCTGTTGTCCCGTATTTTGGTGTGACAGAGAACGTTGGGGAGTTTCTGGGGTACCAGCACCCTGATTTGTTCCACCGATGTGCAAAGTTTCAGGTAGCCCAGGTATAAGCCTGGAGACAAGAGCTTTCTGCTGCGTCTGTGATAAGCCAGCTTCTCCTGGGGGGAAAAAGAGAGAACACAACGGCATTCAGTTAACCATTCCTCTAAACTTACAGTAGTTTATGAGACCATCCTGTCTATACATGTTCATATTTAAAGTTGAAGTCAGGACTGGAAATAATCCATCAGATGGTTATTTTATGCAAGCCTCATCATGTTCATGACCTCCAGCAACAATTCCAACTTTAGTGAACTGCAGTTTCGCCAGAAGAATCTCCACTATTGTCCTGGAAACCAACGCAGGCTGGAGACAAGGGCAGCATAGAAACAATGGAATCAGGCTCCCTCGCCCCTGGATGAAAACCTACTTGTGATTCACTTCTACGTGTGATAAGTTAAAATAGTAGATATTATCAATTAGACCATAAGAGAATTTATTGAATTCATTATTTAAAAAAAACGGTAATACATTAAGAAGAGAAATCAAAAGTGGGTAATCTGGAAAATCATCTGATTTAAAAAGGGTTAAAACGCTAAAAAGTGGTTTGCCTTACATGGTTTATTTTCTTCCTGATTGTGTAATTTGTGGTTAAGATGTGTGAATTTACAGTTTACGAGGCGATCTTGAACTAGACATGACGCTGTCTGTCTCCGCCCACATGCCTGGAGATGCCGCGGTCTTTTCCTCATTAGAGTAAAAGTTCTCGCTGAGGAAACATCTCTTCTCATTGTTTTTATTCCTCCCCATTTTCAGGTATGTTGTCACTGTTAAACATATTTAGCATGATTTTAGTAATCAGCTAACGTGTTAAAGCAATGTTAAATGTGTTTGTTATAATTTAAGTTATTCAGAAGTGTAGTGACGTGTGTAAGTGTGGGCGTGTCAGTTGGCTCACTCCTAGAACGCACCGACCATCACAAAGTTGTAACGGGCGTCGCCATTTTGAATCGTTGTAGATGCGCATAAATGCTTTTGGTGGTGTATTTTGCACTTATTTCGGCGGTTTTGCACACATTTATTTTTGTAAGAGTTTTTATTACATTACTAGTTTGTGTTGAAGCATAAAGTTGTTTTTCTAATGTGTGAGGAAACAGTTACCTTTTAATGAACAAAGCTACTTATTAGTTGTTTAATGGGTTATATGATGTGCTTCATTTCTTTTATTAAAATAAACATGTTTTGGTTTTATAATGTTAATCTCAGAGGACCTGTTGTTTGTTGTAGGACTTATGCCTCAGGTAAATACTATATTAGTAAGATGTGTGCACTCTCTGTACGATTTTATAAATGTTAATTGTTGTAAAACCAATATTTATTAGAGTAAAAGTTCTCGCTGAGGAAACATCTCTTCTCATTGTTTTTATTCCTCCCCATTTTCAGGGGCGTAACATTTTGGAGGCACCGCTGGGATTGCTGTCCAGATGTCCAGTTGCCACAGCCTGGTTACTGAATTCTGAATCTGCAAAATCCCCCCCACTAAACCCAGAAAGATATCAGGTACACAAAAGATCATCTGCTTCAAAGTTAACATGATGCCACTGGAAGAGCTACAAGAGGAGGTAGTAGGAGAGTTGCACACCCTGACTAAAGACAGTTTACTGGAAGTTTGTGATTTTCTCAACATATCTGGTAGTCAAAGGGAAGATGTTAAAGGAAAATCCCGCATATCACTGTTAACTCATATTATGAAGTGTCTTGAGGGAGAGGAAGTAGCATCTCTTGAAGACGAGGGAATGTCGAGGTGGTTGCTACTGAAAGACAAACTTACATGTGTGCTCAGTGGAATGGAAAATGGGACACAACAAACAGAACCAGCTAGTGAAACAAAGGTACCAGGAGGAACAAATAAGAGGCAGGAAGTGGGACTTGATCAGGTTTCCTCAGTAAATACCACCGCTGATAATGATGTGCACCAGCCCCACAGCACTGTCAGTCAGCAAGTAAGCCAGGCTCTCCCACCCAGTGCTCAGTCACATGCAGGCTCATACTGGCGCAAAGACTTTAAGATTTCTGGTCAAATTGGTGAACCAGGCCAGAGAGATAAACTAACATTTTCTAGCCTTGCTCATCAGATAGAAAATGGGCTAAGTAGGGGTTATCCTGAGATTGAAATCACAGATGCCGTAATCAGGGCTATCTTCCCCGGTTCACAGCTGCGCAGTTACTTAGAGGGAAAAGCTCACCTATCACTTCCCACACTAAGGCGCATTTTGCGGTCCCATTTCCAAGAGAAGAGTGCTACAGAGCTTTATAAGCAGCTTGCTTCTGAAGCACAACATAGCAAAGAAACCCCTCAAAGTTTTCTCATGAGAGTTTTGGACCTAAGGCAAAAAGTACTGTTTGCATCCCAAGAGTCAGAATCAGGGCTTAAGTATGATCCAGCTCTTGTCCAGCGTATGTGTTTACATACCATACTTACGGGACTCCAGAATGACAGTATTAGGATAGATACACTATATTGCCAAAAGTATTTGCTCACCCATCCAAATTATTGGAATCAGGTGTTCCAATCACTTCCATGGCCACAGGTGTATAAATTCAAGCACCTAGGCATGCAGACTGTTTTTACAAACATTTGTGAAAGAATGGGTCGCTCTCAGGAGCTCAGTGAATTCCAGCGTGGAACTGTGATAGGATGCCACCTGTGCAACAAATCCAGTCGTGAAATTTCCTCGCTCCTAAATATTCCACAGTCAACTGTCAGCTGTATTATAAGAAAATGGAAGTGTTTGGGAACGACAGCAACTCAGCCACGAAGAGGTAGGCCACGTAAACTGACGGAGCGGGGTCAGCGGATGCTGACGCGCATAGTGCGAAGAGGTCGCCAACTTTCTGCAGAGTCAATCACTACAGACCTCCAAACTTCATGTGGCCTTCAGATTAGCTCAAGAACAGTGCGCAGAGAGCTTCATGGAATGGGTTTCCATGGTCGAGCAGCTGCATCCAAGCCATACATCACCAAGTGCAATGCAAAGCGTCGGATGCGGTGGTGTAAAGCACGCCGCCACTGGACTCTAGAGCAGTGGAGACGCGTTCTCTGGAGTGACGAATCGCGCTTCTCCATCTGGCAATCTGATGGACGGGTCTGGGTTTGGCGGTTGCCAGGAGAACGGTACTTGTCTGACTGCATTGTGCCAAGTGTAAAGTTTGGTGGAGGGGGGATTATGGTGTGAGGTTGTTTTTCAGGAGCTGGGCTTGGCCCCTTAGTTCCAGTGAAAGGAACTCTGAATGCTTCAGCATACCAAGACATTTTGGACAATTCCATGCTCCCAACTTTGTGGGAACAGTTTGGAGCTGGCCCCTTCCTCTTCCAACATGACTGTGCACCAGTGCACAAAGCAAGGTCCATAAAGACATGGATGACAGAGTCTGGTGTGGATGAACTTGACTGGCCTGCACAGAGTCCTGACCTCAACCCGATAGAACACCTTTGGGATGAATTAGAGCGGAGACTGAGAGCCAGGCCTTCTCGTCCAACATCAGTGTGCGACCTCACAAATGCGCTTCTGGAAGAATGGTCAAAAATTCCCATAAACACACTCCTAAACCTTGTGGACAGCCTTCCCAGAAGAGTTGAAGCTGTTCTAGCTGCAAAGGGTGGACCGACGTCATATTGAACCCTATGGATTAGGAACGGGATGTCACTTAAGCTCATATGTGAGTCAAGGCAGGTGAGCAAATACTTTTGGCAATATAGTGTATGCAGCCCCTCTTGGTAGACACTAAGACGGCAGATGAGCTTTTGCTTGAGAAGTTAAACATTGCCTGCGCTAATGAGACAGAAAGAAGGAACAAGAAGAGGTTTAGTGCTCCACACCCAGTTACAAGCGCAAGTGTCGTCCAGTCAGAGGAAAAGCCCCCTGCAAAGAGCCATGTGCAGGAAGCCAAAGTAAAGGTACCCCCTGAACTGTTGACAGAATTAGCAGAACTTAAAACAGGTGTTGCGTCTCTACAAGGCCTTTCCGCAGAGATAGCTCAGATTAAGGAGACATTACAGCAGCCTATGTTTCAGCCACAGCCACCTGTACCACCACAACAGCTATATTATCACAACTACAGCCAGCCTCAAGCACCTGCAACAATGCAGCCTCAGTATGCACCTCACCTGCGCCCTAACCGCCCTGCATATACTCCAAGGAAGTGTTTTGGTTGCCAACAGGCTGGCACAGATGAACGTTGCATGCATTGCTACCGATGTGGGAGTGGAGAACATTTCCAGGCAGGGTGCAGAACCAGACCAATGAGACCATCAAGAGAGGCTCCTTTAAACGGGAAGTGGTTACCCCTGCGGGACGAGTGTTAACCATAGCCAGTGAAAGGTCCCAAAAATGTGTAAATTGTGGCAATGGAGGTTCACTAGGGACACAAAAAATTTGCTCATCCTGTAAAAAGGCACTGTATTGTTCCAGATCATGCCAAAAACAACACTGGGAGGAACATAAGAGAAAATGCACTCACATGACCAATAACAGTGAGAGTGAACAAAAGGACTACAGGGAGAAAAACACCCAATATTTACCCCCCCCAGTTCAAGTCGTCCACCCTCGTAAAGTCACATCGCTAGTTGGCAGGCAGTGTCTGGTCGAATGCTACCTGAATGGTCATCAACTCCAAGCTTTATGGGACACAGGCTCTCAAGTGTCAATAATTGATGAAAGGTGGAAGGAGCAGCACTTATCAAATGAAAGGCTGAGAGATGTTTCAGAAATTCTGGACTCATCAAATGATCTAACATTGACTGCAGCAAATGGAACTGAAATGCCTTATCTGGGATGGATTGAAATAACTTTCCAACTTGCCCCTGAAACCGATAAAACAAAGGAATTGATCATTCCAGTGCTGGTGATGAAAGGCTGTCGTTTGTCTCATCCCATCATAGGTTTTAATGTCATTGAACACATCCTTGCAAAAACAGAAAAGGCAAAAAGGTACAGTGCAGTGAGAAAAACGTTCCCCAGTCTCAAAAGAAACAAGGTAAGAGCATTTATACAGGCAGTTAGCGCAGAGCAGATTGACGAGTACACAGTGAAAACTAAGAAAGATAAGGTTACAGTCA